TGACTCAAATGAGAAAAGTAGGTTAGGTTCCTAACTATGGACGTAAGTTTGGTGATCTGAATAACATACGACGCATATAAAGACAGAAGTCAATATTCAGCTTTAGGCATTTGTAACAGAGTGAAAAATGAGTGTCTAGTAGTGCCAGTTCTTTTGATTTTTATAGGAACAGAAATTGAGATTTTGAAGTGAATAGTATCTGAGATTTAGAAATTGACAACTTACTCAATTAAACAACAGCCACTACTCTGGGACTGTGATGATCACACAGAATATGGCCATGGGCTGGCTGGTTGCAGCCTGCAGATAGCCAGTTTACAATCTGTGTTCTAGATGCTTGCATATTTGCAATGGAAAATGTTCTTGCTTTCTTGATGCTTCAGGAACATGTGGCTGGGTTTTGGATTAATTTCACTTTAATATAAGTTATGCTTTTATTAAAAGCTGTGAATGATGTATACTCTTTAAAAGGAGATAATATCACTGAGAACCAGTGTATGTGCATAAAGAGCACATTGTCTGTGACTACACTCTGTTCTTTATAGTGATACTATGTACTGGCATATCAGGACATGCTGCTTAAACAGAAGTTTGATTCTGTCTCACTCTTTCACAAATTATGTGTACAGAAAAATGCTGGTTAGCTAATGCAGTTATGAATCTTGTGATGAGGTCTAAGCATTAGAGTGTTAAATAGATTTAAGTTATTTGGGAAGGCATCTTCTACCTTGTTTTAGACTGTTTTTTTTTTCCCCCAAACTTTTTAGCTACAGCAGTGAAAACAAAAGCAGTATAAAAATTTAAATTGGTTTAGTTACCAAAACATTAAAAGAAAAAGCCAAATTAAATAAATCCGAGACATTAGCACATCTAAACAAATGAGAGTTTAAAATATAAAGGAAATGCTCTGAACATTAATAGAGATACACAAATTTAGGTTATTATGAGTTAGCTGATTTAAGATTATACYAGAATTAGTCCAGTTTATGTAGCCATGTAAAAAACATTCAGTCATTGGACATATTTATTCAAGGGCTGGATATTTATTTTAGAAATACTTGTCTACATTGGATGATGAGCTGGATGCAGGTTGACTAGAACTCTAATCCCAAGATTGCCATTTGGCATCGTTGCAATTGTGGATAAGTTGCTTTGTATTATTTTAGTCAAATAATAGATTAAAGTAGTAGTATAAGAATTAGACAAGGTAACACAGAAATATCACAGTTATACTATTTTTTTCAGAATTTTATGCCCTTTCAACTATTTGAACACATAAATTCTGTGATTCTTAGCTTCTGCCTCTATACCCAGATGGATATATAACTGACTATTGAGTAATACACCCTAAATAGAAAAATAAAGCATATTGGGGTTAGGAAAGATGATTGTGAAAAATATCCCATAAAGGTAAAGCTGGTTTTTAAATAGTCTGATTTTTAGATGAAATCATAGTATGGTACCAGGACRAAATTCAGCAAAAGTATTCTTAGACATTTATAAAACAATAATAATTATATAACTATAGAAGGCCTAGCGTGAGAATTTAAAAATTTTTAAAAGTAAAACTAAATATGGATATTTTAAACATTTTTTTATTATCTGGATTTATCACTTTCAAAAACAAGTAAATAAATAATCCTACACATAAATTATATTTTTCTGTATAAATTAGTTGCTTAATGAAAAATTGAGCTCTAATTAAGCTTCATATATTGAAAGGAAATTATAACAAATGAAAAATAAGTATGTAGATGAGAAAACCAGAACATTTAAAAGAACATTAAGGTATATGATCTAGAGAGAAAAAGATCATCTTACTTTTTAATAGCTTATATGGGATCTATATTGTATTTTTCACTTTTATAGTGGACTAAGAAAAAAGAATAACGTTAAATAAAGTTTCACACTATTTAYATAAGATGAAAAATGACAATGTAAGATATATAACTGCCTAAAATTAATAAATTCTTTTTCTAAAACTCATTGAGAACAGGATAGGAACAAACTGASTGATTATTGAGTATATTAGAATTAGAGCTTGTCTTATTTAAATGTATAGGTATGAAATAYGTGACATTGAAATTTTCTTGAACTAGTCACTTCTTCAGGCCAATAAAAGTTGAAATGTGAATATGAAATGAATTTAAATGAAATAATTACATTCTAACAGTATAGTATGTCTTGATAGGATATCTCCATTAAATTATTTCTTTCAGAAACTGATGTACTCATTTGCATTTTATTGAGTTGATAACTTAATAATATTTAGGGTTTTTTAATAAATGAAAGATATAATAGAGTAGGGCTTAAAGACTTGAATAATATGAAAATTGCAGTTGTCAATACTAATTTCTGATTTTCAGATTCCCCAAAAGCTTTCACAGATTTGTCACATCCCTTTCCAAATTTTTTCAGATTCTCACACAAAGCTGTCAGCATGCTTATTGCAAACACCTATTCCAGCATTTCTTTAGGAAGCTTTTGTTTTCATTTCARTCTGGAGTGGTTGCTTTCTAGGCTTTTGGACAATTCTTATCCTTGGACTTCTCTATACTCCCGTGGTCTTGGAGTTCTTGTTTTCTGTATCTCCCTGCATTCTTCCCTCTTAATTGCCCTTATTTTGTTGAGGATGGCTTAGGAGAATTTTTGAGTCCTTACACAATTGAGAATGGTATTATTCTATGGTCATACTTTGCAGATAGTTTCTCTGAACATGAAATTTAACTTCTTATTTTGAAGACATTGCTTTTGAGAGGTACAGTGATAGTTTGAACGTGACTCCTTTGTATGTTACCTGTTTTGTGTAACTGGGAACTCTTAGTCACTTTTCTATCCCTCTTCTTTAATTTCATGGTGATGCTCTGGTTTGGCTCATTTGTTGTGCTATTCAGTCACCCTTTTAATCAGGAAACTTGGATCTGAAGTTCTATGAAATTTTTCATTCATTTTCAAGAAAGAAACTTTCACTTCTTCCCTTTTTTTCTTTTTTTTTTTAATAGCTGCTACTTGTCAACTACATGATATATGAGACTAATAATGCCCTGATGTTTTAACATTATTATCTATCTGTCTTTTAATTCTAGTTTCTGGGAGATTTTCTTATGGTACTTTCTACCTTCCCATTGATTTAAAATTCTTGCGCTTTTAGTACTTCCAACAAGAATTCTATTTTTGTTCTATAATAATTTCTTCCTCCATTTTTTAAAATTTAAATCTAGTTTTGTTTAATAAGATCTTGTTCTTTATTCTGCTCCTAAAKATATTAGGGAAAGTTTTGAAATTCTCTTCTGCTGTTTTCATAGTCTATATTTATTTGGAGATCCTTTTATATTTGTTCATTACAAAACTGCATTTGTGTCTGTATTGATCAAGTTTTGAGTGGTTGGACTGTTCATTTACATTCAAGAAGATGGTAGTAAAGTGAATTGGAAATATACTATGTGCAGAGGTGGGTTTAACATCTACTGTCTTGCTGGTTTTTAAGTTTCCCTTGTACATACCAATTCATACCCTTTTTACTCATTTATTGCTATTTTAATAGTATTTCCAAATGGCACAGATAAATGCATTATTAAGTTTGTTAGTTTTAACAAGTTGTGTAAATATATTTAAACATTATTGGCACTTTCCATGTTTTTAGTTACTATTTGTAATTATCTTAAAGAATTTTGTATTATTCTGCTGAGTAAAAGTACTATAGTTTGCCTAACTGTTCCTGTTTTGTTATGACTTTAGGTTATTCATGGTTCAAAAAGCATCATTCATCATCACTAGTAAAGCAAATATTCTATGAGGAGATTCTAATAGAATACTGTTTGTCTAAGCTTAGTTCATTGATTATTTTATCTTTAATATGCTTTATGCATGTTCTCTTCTCTGACCATTGTTTGGTAGAAGTATAACAGTGTTTTAAAAGTAGCTTACTTTAAAAGTAGCTTACTATACTAATGCTTTGAAGAAAAAAAATGGGTATTTGTTAATTCATAATTAACAAAACTGTTGTGATTTATTCTTTTTCCATTTGGAAATGAAACATGGTAATAAATGTTAAATTAATAACTTTGGACCAATTTTAAATATACTAGTATTTTTATTTGTTAATAATAATATAGATTTTATTGCATACAGATGATTTTTGGATTTAGTATTTAACTTTCATAAAAAATTACACTTTGATCTAGTAAAATGAATTAGAATGACTTTAAGTCATTTTTGATTTTGGTATCTAAAAAYAATTATTACTTTTTGAAATTTTTAAATTAGTCTTTCTGATATTTGTATTAATATTTATTTTAAAATTTATCATCCTACTTAAACATCATTTCTGAAGAACTGAGTAAACATATAATTCTATTATTTTTTCTTTGTAGTAATATTTAAAAAGAAATATAGTTATGTGATGCATAATGATGTGAAGGTCAATGGCAGACCACCCTTACAATGGTGATCCCATAAGATTGTGACAGTAGTGACAYTGAAGCCATCTTGCTTGTATAAGGACAAGCAAGTATAAGTACATTCTGTGGTGCTCACATAAGGAAATTGCCTAAGGTCACATATCTCAGAATGTATTTCCGTAATTAAATGACACATGACTGTAATTATATATTATTTTTAAAGCTTTTTAACATTAGTTTTAATATAATATTATCTTTACAATGGTTAATTTTTATCCTGTGTTTTTAGTTATTACTATGAACTAGGATTATTTTTAGATGCTGTTGATATTTAAAAAAGTATGTAATGGTCAATTTTTCAAATAGATCTTTGATTTGTGATTTGTTTTATGAGAACCAATAGTGGATAATGTGTAAAATTTTTCTGAAGCAGTAAAGAGAATAGAATGTAGGTATAGTTCTTTTCTGTTCTTTAGGATCAGTCTGCTCAAAACATTATAAATTTAATGATTATTTAATCTGCCTTTTTCTGATTATAAATTTTAAATATGTGGAYGTGTATATACAAATGCACATTTAAAATAATTTGTTTTGTCATAGTTACTTGCCGTGGTTTGAAGTATATTACAAGCTTCTAAATACTCTGGCAGATTACTTGGCTAAGGAACTGGTAAGCTATATTTTTATTTTATTTTTGTTGTGTTAAAATATACATAACATAAAATGTTATCATTTTAACCATTGTAAGTATATAGTTTTGTGGCATTAAATATATCCACATTATTCTACATCCATCAATTCTAGACATCTCTAGAAGTTTTTATATTGACAATCTGAAACTTAATACCCATTAGACTTTAACTACCCATTTCCTTCTATCCTCTTTCCTGAAAATGACCATTGTACTATATCTGCCACTATGATTCTATGTACTTCATGTAAGTGGAATCACACAATATTTATCCTTATATTCAAGATACCCATGTTGTACCATGTGTCAGAATTTCCTTTCTTCTTAAAGACTGAAGGTGGCTTTCCATTATATCTATATATGCTGAAGTCTGTTATTTTATTCAATTGTTGGTGGACACAGATTGTATCTGCCTTTTGGCTTTGCTTTTACGAAGACAGTTGTACAAATACACATCTTTCAATCTTATACTCAGTTTTTCTTGGTGTATACCTAGAGGGGTTAATGCTGGGTAATCCAGTAATTCTGTATTTCAGTTTTTGAGGAACCATCCTACCATTTTCCACAGTGGCTACATCATTTAACATTCCCACTAGTAATGTACTAGAGTAATTTTGATTGTATTTGCTTGCTATATTTCATTTATTAATTGATTTTTTTTCTGTTCTAGGAAAATGATTTGAATGAAACACTCAAATCACTCTATAACCACCCAGTACCAAAGGCAAATACTCCCGTCACTTTGAGTGTGGTAAGTAATCACTAAATGCTTTAAGAAATCTTAGCACGGGCTGGGGATGTGGCTCAAGCGGTAGCGCGCTCGCCTGGCATGCGTGGGACCCGGGTTTGATCCTCAGCACCACATACAAACAAAGATGTTGTGTCCGCCGAAAACTAAAGAATAAATATTAAAAAATTCTCTCTCTCTCCTTCTCTCTCTCTCACTCTCTCTTAAAAAAAAAAAAGAAAGCTTAGCAGTTTCTCATTTAAGAACAGTGTTACTTTAAAAAATTATTTACCATGTCACCTATGCTTCTGCTTCTGGAGAAGCTTTATCGATAGGACTAAGATTAGTAGGTGATAATTTTGAGCCTTTTGATGAGCTATAATTGTCATAACTTGATATATTTGAGTTGTGTATTTTAGTAGTTATTAAACTGAAGCACTAAAAAAATATTTTGAACTGAAAATAACTGTGAGGTTGTGATGATCTGATGAACTGAATGGTTGTGATGATCATTCATACTTCAGGTGAAAGTCATGTATAAATAAAGGAGTACATACAAAATGTGTGTGTGTATATGTGTATATAAAATCACTAGTCCCCCTAAAATGAAAACAATTGTTAATAAGAATAGAAAATGACATTGCCACAAATGACATGCWGGATGAAAATACTGGATGAAGAGTTCTTGTTCTTTCCTTAGTCTGAAATATGTCTTCTGATATAATCACAAAATAATGTAAGTATCATTAGAGTTTGTCAAAACAGCAAGCCYGTTTACTATTGAAACTTTTTAATGAACTGTGCCATCTATATCTAAAAATAGACTAAAAACAAAGTTCATGGTAGTAAAATGTGGATATTTTCATTAATATTCTCCATTACTTTGGCATGTGAAACTGAAGGTTGAATTTTATTTATATTGATTTGTTTCTTTCACAATGATAGTAAACTTCCATATTAACAAACAAGAAAAAATTTTACCAGGCAAGAAAAATTGCTAGGATAAGTAATTTGAAATATAGATAGTAATAGGTATTTTGTGTTTTTGCAAGATAAGGAAATCATTATTATTATTCTTTCTTTGGTAACAACTTTCTCCTTGCCTTATACAATTATATTTATATTATAATTTAATAATAGTATTTTTTCTTACTTAACTCCATTTTCACTGTCACACCCTCATTCAGGTGCTAAGCACTTCAGATTGTCCTTAGTCTAGAATCTTTCCTTCCAGTTCTTTCTTCAAATTAAACTATCTTAAACCTTGTAAAGTCCACTACTGAAAAACAACTCCTCATTTTATATACAGAATTTGTTTGAACTTTTGGCCAGGCTTTCTGGACCATCCAATTCCTAATTTTATTCTAACTTTTCATGTTCTGTATCACAATTTTTTCTTAAATCATTCCTTACAGTGGTCACATTGTTTAGCCCAGTTTCTTGAATGAAACATCTTGCTTTTCTTTTGCACTGAATCTTATTTATAGACTGTCTATATTTAGACTAGCTCAGTTTCCACCTTTGTGAAGCTCTTGGTACACACCTCAACGTGTTCTTTCTTTCCTGTGTCTGCCTTGTGTCTGCATCATGTTTTGTTGGATACTGCCAAAGTGGAMAGAGACTGGGGATGGAAAGCCAAGAAGACCCTGGATATTTTTAATCAAATTTGAGAGTCATCAGCAGAGATAGTTGTAGCTTTGTGAAAAATATACTGTAGAGAATATGGAGAAGAGGCTAAGGTCTAATTGCCCAATTAGACTGTGAGGATGAAGAAAAGAAATCCATTGGAAAAAATAGAGGAAAGAACAGATAGGGAGAAATTCACACTCATAGGTCATGAAAGCCAAAAGAATGCAGTGTGTATGGTTAATGGCAATACAGCAGAAAGGCAGCAGAAAGTGCAAGCAAAACAAAGAATAATCATTGGTTTTCCAAAAAGAACTCCTCTTTCTTTGAAAGTATTATGTTTGTAGTGATTCTGACACTTTGCTAAAGAGTTGTGAAAATTTATTTCCCTTTAATTGACATATAATAATTTTACCTATTTATGGGATGCAGTGTTGTGTATGTGTAGACAATGAAATCAGAATCAGTTAGTTATACTTGGAATCTCTGCTTCTATGACAAATTTTTAGATTTCAAATATGAGTTAAATCACTTATATATCCTTCTGTGTCTGACTTGTTTCATTTTAAATAATAAGCTCTATTTTCATGCATGTTGCCACAAATGACATAATTTCATTTCTTATTGCTGAATATTCTGTTGTATATATGTATCATTTAAAAATACGTATGCATTCATTGTCAGATGGGGAGGTTAATGCCATGTCTGGTATGTTATGAACAATGATGCATTGAACCTGGGAGTGAAGACATTCTGGTTTCCCTTCTTATGGCCAGATACCTAGTAGTGGGGATACTGAATCATATGGCATTTCTATTTTTAATTTTTTGAAGAACCTCTATATTGTTTTCCATAATGGTTGTGCTAATTTACGTTTCCACTAACAATATATAAAAGTTCCCCTTTATACCCTCCACAACTCTTATTATTTTTTGTCTTTTGGATAATAGCATTGTAACTGGGCTGAGGTGATAACACATTTTGGTTTTGATTTGCATTTTCTTGATAGCTATTTATGTTGATTTTTTTCTATATATATTTTGGTAAGTTAGGTTTTTGAATAGCCTATGATATCTTTCACTTTTTCTACACCTAGTCTCAAGTGTTTGGTAAAATAACTTGTTACCTATGTTTAAATTTCATTTGCTTCTAATAACAGAATGTACCCAGTGTTACACACTGCTAATGAGGGACAATTTTGGGATTAGAACATTTATCTTCAACTACTAGTAGAGATTTTAGTTTTATGTTGCCAGATTAAAAATTTATGATCATGGAAGTTTTCTTGAAAGTGGGTTAGTGGTCACTAGAATATCAGATTTTATGAGATGTTAAATGTCTAAAAATTGATTTTTTTGAAACTGTGTTTCAAAATCATTAAATAACCATAGTGTTCTCTACTCTCACAATATAAAAATACTTTCTTTAGGATTTTTTCTAGCATAGAATTACCAAATCAGCATTTAAAATAACACTTATAATCAATGGATAATGTAGCTGCATGAGTTTCTCTCAAAAACACTTTTACATAAGTTTCCCCTATATTCATTTTTTCTTATGTATTATAAGAATCAAGAAATATTTATTGCCAGTGAGCAAGTATTGAAAGATCAGCTCTCACTAATACCGGTGAGTTGAAAGACATTGGCTTCTAAAAATCATTGTGAAATTGGGAACAAAGTTGCTTCTTTTTCTCTGCCTTTAAAATTCACCTCAGTCCTATGGGAAATGGTAGACTTACTCTTTAAAAAAATAATCATTTCGAATATATTTTCTGTTTATACTATCTTTTAAACCATGTTCTTATCAAATATAGTTATTGAAAACCTATCCAAATAAAATTAATAGAGACCAAATATGCATGTTCTCCATCTTCAGAAAAAGCAGTTTTAAAGCACATTCACAGCATGAAATTTTTGTCACAAGATTATCTTGTGGTTTATCTCAGATTATTTTTCCACCATGGAAAATGATACATTATGACTGTGTTAACCAGCCTTGTTCTCTCTAGTTTAATTGTGCTCTAATACTGCCTAGAAAAGTTTCTGTCTGAATCAAGATATTAAAATAATTTGTAGCTTAATATGAACAGAAAATAAAACAGTTTTTGATGATTAAGTTGCACTTTGATTTTATAAATATTTGTAAATATTGTGGGAAATATGAAGGCATATATACTATGTTTTGTATGTAAATATTTCAGTGAGCTATTGTATTGTTTGGTACATTGTAGCATTTGATCCTTGTTCACTTGGTGTGTGAAAGTCATTTTGTGATGAGCAACTATATTTTTAAGATTTAAGCATTTAATAACTGTGTTTTACAAAGAGATTTATTGTGACATCTTATAAACTCTGGAATTTTAATATATTTTGACATATTTTTGGGAGGAGAAGCTTTGTTTCTCTAGTCTACCTAAATTAGATATGTTTTAAGAATATATACTCATAATTTTATATATATATATATATATATATATGTATCCACACACATACATACAGGTGTATATATGTGTGTGTGTGTGTGTGTGTGTGTGTATAATTTTTTTGTTCTCTACTTTTTTACTTACATTATGGATTCCTGCATAGAAGAATAGTATAATTATGAGTATATCTGCATTTGTGAGAAATAATGAAGAAATAAAGAATAATGGGTCTTATGTCTTTTTCCTTTTTATTTGTTCTGTTATACATTTCTTAATATGTTGTTGATAAAGAAATTAAGAAAAATGATATGAGGGAAAGTATTTCTTCATTTAGAACATGTAGGTAGGATCTTACACATTCAGTTAGGTCCTGAGTTTCCCTAAATCAAGTTGAGGTATGGGTATATGTGTATAAAATCTTTGGTAATATACTCTTTTTGGCCTTAACTGAAAAGTCATTGTTAAATTTATATAAACCTGCTCTTTCATTTAAGAGTTTCTTAAATTCAACAAATCTTGAGTGTCAGCCCATGACATTTATTAATTAAACAATTTTCTTATTTTTAATCCCAAAATTTAATTCTTTTCTTACATGATTTATTTTTACTGATTAGCATTCCTACTTCATTGCCCCTGATGTAACTGGACTCCCAACAATACCTGAGAGTGTAAGTTTTCTGTTTTTTACTTTTATTACTTATATTACAAATTTTATTTATTTTGGTCTCACTCTTATGGATTCCTGCTTAGAGAAATAAGATACATTATAACTGTCTGTATTTGTGAGAAATAATGAAGAGATAAACAATAATGGTGTTGTATTCTTTTCCTCTTTATGCATCTGCCCTGTTATACCTTTCTTAATATGTCCTTGATAAAGAAAATTGGGAAAAATTATCTGAGGAATAGATAGTTATGAACATTCTGTTAGGTTCTGCTTCCCTATACAAAGCTGAGAACGTGTCTCAGGAGATGGCTACTTTAATGAACTGACCACTGCTTTTTAGATTTCTTGTCTATGACTCTGTCCTAATCTAAGTGTCCTATACTTGATTTCCTGGTTTYATTTTAAAGTAATATATATTTCATGAAGCTTGAAGAGTATTATAAGAAATTGGAAAAATGAATTAATTTTGCATTTTAATTAGAGTTCAAATTAATATATTGTTGATAAAGAATTAAGAAAAATGATATGAGGGAAAGTATTTCCTCATTTAGAACACTTAGGTAGGGTCTTACATATTCAGTTAGGTCCTGAGCTTCCCTGAATCAAGTTGAGGTGTGCRTATATGTGTAAAAAATCTTTGGTAATGTACTCTTTTTGGCCTTAACTGCTTGTGTGAAAAAATTATTGTTAAATAATTTTTCATTTAAGAGCCTCTTAAATAGTAGAAGTAGTCTGTGTTTCTATAATGTCACAAATTAATATTTTATGCAAAAGTTTACATGGGTAAGTGGAAATAACAAATATTTTTTGCTTTTTTAAATAACTATGAAAATATAATATTCCCTTATATATTTTTTCTTCAGTTTCTCTTGGAAAGTTGAACTGAATCTAAATAATTCAATCAAAAGTCAAGGGAAAATCAGTTGGAAAAATATATGTTCAAGTACACTTATTATTTACCTAAGAATTCTACTCTTTTTTCAAATGTTTTCAAACCTACTGAGTGAAAATAAAGAAGGCAAGTGTAAATATTCTAATACTCAAAATAGAATATCTAATCAAAACTGTTTCTAGTAGAGGTGAATCCTGGGAAACCCTATTTAAAAGGATTTTTTTAGACAACCCCTATGAAAAGACWTAGCATTATTTCTCTTACTATGGGCCTGAGATAGATCCTCAAGTGTCAAGGCCCATCACAGATAGTGGGGTCTTGACCTCTGCACCTTGTGCACAGGGCATCCTTCTATATTTACCTCATGGACAACTGACCATATCTTGGCTTATGTGGTTCTGGCCCCTCCACAGCAGAGTTTCAAATACAAAGTCAAAGTAACTCTCTTCTATCTTCTATCCTCTCCACCTTTCTCTTACATTTACCAACAGACAACTAATAGCTTCAATTAACAAATACCATGGATTTTTAAAGACTATTACTTTGAAAGTTTTAGAGAAATAAACATTCTAATGAAATGCCACCGAGAATAAAAGTTTTTAAAATCTCCCTTAACGCATTTTATTTAGCAAAAAAGTCTTGTTTAGGGGGAAACAAACAAACAAACAAACAAACAAAGGACAGAAATATCAAGAAGCATTCTATGTTGTGAAATAATTCCCTATCTAAAAATTATCTACCTTTAAAATTATAGGAAAATATTAATATTTAATGTTGTGAATGTAACTTTGTATATGCAGTATGGAAGTGGAAGGTGAAGTGGGCCTTAATAAAACAGGAAATGGATCTCTCCCCATCAATTCAACATCACTGACTGATATATAGTCTCTACTGATATGTTCTTCTCTGACTACCAGTTTATTCTGATAYAGTTTCTGTCTTTTCAAAATTGAAAAAAAAAAGCAGGATTTCTTTTCTTTTTGCCCAACTAAGTTTCATCCTTCCAGGTCATAGTCCACCTGGTAGTACAGTTTCAATTTATTATCATATCTTAATAAGTTTCTCCATTACTTTATTGCTTCCTGATATGCTTAAATTTGATTACAGAAAGCTAAAAATTAGTAATTTCAAGGAGAGAATCTGAAAATCAATGTAATTCGTCCCAATTTTTTTCTTATGTAGGATACATCTTATAAGAGTGTTAAATCAAGGAATCAATTTAGGATATCACCAAATACATTTGGTTATAGTGGTATAAAGCAAGCCTGACAGGTGGTACAAACAAAGGATATTCCTTAATAAAGAATCAAGGACTTCTTATAAATCCATCTTATCCTTTGGTTGTCTTGTGTATTGGACAATGATTTTTGCCTGCAGAGTGAATGACAAACATGAGAAGACTCAGAGAATTCTGGAACAGTGGTTTTTCAAAAATTACTGTCTRTAAGAATCATCAGGAGTATATGTTTAAACAGCAGTTTCTTAGGACCATACTCTGAAGATAATAATTAAGTACTTTGGTGGGGGCCCAGGAAATCAGCTTCTTTTCAAATACTTGGTGTTGGGGGAGGGAGGCTGGGAAATATTCGACCCTCTGATCACCCTCTGAGAAACACTTTTGTGGAGAGGGTTATGCTTCCAATAATAATGGAATATTGCATGCTTCATGTAGCAGCAGAATAGTATTAAATTTAATTATTTTAATGAATGCCACTTTTAATAACAACATTCTTTGAACTTTAAAACTTTTTGATAAAAGTATAAAATGTTTTTCTTCATATTCACCATAAGCTGTAACTTGAGAATTATTTTTCACTTGTACAGAGAAATCTTACAGAATATTTTGTTGCTGTGGATGTGAACAATATGCTGCAACTGTATGCCAGTATGCTGCACGAAAGGCGCATCATTATTACCTCTAGCAAATTAAGCACTGTAAGTACTTCACACTTTCCTTTTAAATAGCATGTATTGAGTGTTTCACAAAAAGACCTAAAAACCTCTGCAGATTTAGAAATGTGTTATGTGTACTTATAAGACAATATCTACATACTTTTTTATATATGGTTTTAATCTGGCTCTTGAAGTACAAAAGTCTGATTTATAGAAGGCTTTCTCAGATGCATTAAATCAGGTTAATTATTTTTTCTTATCAGGAGATGAGAGTTTTTTTTTCTCTTTTTAACTCTCCACAGTTCATTTTAGTACCTTCTACCACATAAAGAATTCTTAAGAGCTATTATGAGATCTTTATTATTCACTTATGGCTTTTTCCATTGGAGCTACTTGAAAGAAATCAAGGGGCCATGATAATAGCTGCTACCCTAACCTGGTAATAGGTAGATTCATCTTTGTTGCCAAGTAGTGGTTTGGGAGTAGATTCTATAATAGTTCTGGTTTGGAGGAGCTCTTCAGACTGATAATAACTTAAAAGTCAAAGTAGCATTTTTTATAAATCACAGGTTTTATGACACTCACTAAAATGTTCTTTTGGAAGGTCTTCATTACTGTGGTAAAGGCTGTGAGAATAGGAGGATTTTCTTGGGTCACAGAAAAAATTTTAAATGTATTTTTCTRGTTTTCATAATTTATTCTGCATTAAGCATAAAAATATGTTTTTTCAACTTTTTAGTTAATACAAACTTAAAGTTTTGAGTAATCTGTAAGATATTAAAAACCATTATTCAATACTGCATGAGTTTGCTTCTCCACATATTTGTTTACTTGATAATAAATAAAACCATAATTTTAATATTTTATTTTCCTAGAGTAGAAATAACAAATTTATAATATTTTAGCACCTAAAAGTAGAATGAGGGTTAGGATTTCTTTATTTCTTTGGGATATCTGTTTAGTATTTAATAATGAGCAAGGTATTTTCAGAGACAATGGTCATCCCAAGGCCAAAAAACTAGAAATATTAATGAGAAACTAGGTTTCCTAATTCTGTCTTGGCTTATTTCTTTTGCTTTACAATTGAAAAAGTAAAATTTTGAGATTTTAAATATTTAATATTGATGAACTCACTTTTCCCCAAATTGAAATACATTGTACATGTTGAAAAATGTAAGCATATAAAGGAGTAAATGTGAAAAAGTGATGAGGTAGTATCAGAGAGTAAGTACTGTAATGTAGGTCATATTTTTCTTATACATCTTTAAAACATGTTGAGATGTTCAATCTGAATCACATGGTACTTTGACTCACTGCTTCAGAGGTTCAGTCCATGGTTGGCTGCTGATTCCATAGTTCAGGGCCTGAGGTAAGGCAAAACATCATGGCAGAGGGCATGGTAGAGGAAAGATGCTCAGTTCATGAAGCCAGGAAGGAGAGAGAGAGAGAGAGAGAGAGAGAGAGAGAGAGAGAGAGAGAGAGAGAGAGAGAGAGAGAGAGAGAGAGAGAGAGAGAGAGNAGAGAGAGAGAGAGAGAGAGAGAGAGAGAGAGAGAGAGAGAGAGGGAGGGAGAGAGAGGGAGAGAGAGAGAGAGAGAAAATGAGAGAGAGGGGAGAGAGAATGAGAATGAGAATGAATGCAGGTATGTGAGAAAGCGCTTGAGAACAAGAAATCATGGATAATATAATCCCCAAAAGCACACCAGCAGTGACCTACTTCCTCCACCCATGCCCTCTCTATGGTTACCACCCATGAATCCATTCAAATTATTAACCCATCAAATGGATTAATTGACTGATTAAGTTACAGCTCTCATAATCTAATCATTTGACCTCTGAACATTTCTTTATTGGTTCACACTTGAGCATTCAGGGGTTATCTCATATCTAAACCATAACATTTTATATATTTGAGTTTCTACTGTTTTTAACTTATCACTGAAGTAAACCCATTGTTTATTCTCTGTCCACCTCTTCCTCCTTAATTTTTAAACATGATATTAATATTATAAAGGATATTTTTATATTGATTTTATGAAAATTAAAATAATTGTACAAATTGTTTTATAGGATTAACTTTATAAGAACTAATTTGTATTAGGATTAATTCATGCAGCAAATATTTATTAGGTACATATTATGCATCAGATATTTTCCTACATACTAAGAATTCAACAGAAAGCAAAACAAAGTTCAAGCAATCTTGGTGCTTATATCCAACTGTTGTGAAACAGATAAACAAATGAACAAATAAATAGTTGTTATTTCATACAGTGCTGAGTACTATTTGTAAAGGATAAAGTGAGTGTGCKTGTACAGAGGATAAGGCAAGAGCCAGGTTTTGGTTTTATGTAAGGTAGTTGTGGGAGGGAATGCCTCTCCAGTGAGATAGAATTTAGGCAGAGATCTGAGGAAAATAAGCTATGTGAATGGAGTGTAAGCTGCTGCGTTTAGAACACAGTAGGAATAAATCTGAACACGTGTTTTTGAAAAATATTTGGTTTTATTTTAATTTTTATCCCTCTCTTAGAGGATGTGTAACCTTTCTGACTTGGTTTCTTCAAGAGTAATTGCAATCTTAATCTCATAGGGTTGCTATAAGAATTAATGGACACAAACACATAATAGAAGTGCTTAAGATTATGTCTATGTAGGATAAATGTTTAGGTTTTTTTTTAAAGAGAGAGAGAGAGAGAGAATTTTAATATTTATTCTTTAGTTTTCGGCGGACACAACATCTTTGTTTGTATGTGGTGCTGAGGATCAAACCCGGGYCCCACGCATGCCAGGCGAGCGCGCTACCGCTTGAGACACATCCCCAGCCCTTAACTGTAGTTTTATAATAGCCTAGATTTGTAGTTTAGAGCAAAAATTAACATGCCTATCCTTTAATTTAATATTTATTTAATATTTTACTAAAACRTATTGTTTTAAAGGTTGGTATTATGTAGGGAGTTGTTTCCTATGTTCAAGGTCAACTTAATATCGGCAGTTTATGACAGTTCTTAAAAACTTTTGGGTGATGTCACTTGTAAGTTACCAGCTCTGTTTTGGATCATTCTCTGGGGCAGTTGAACTGATAAAATAAATATAATTCAATTTGCTTCTCATGATCTTCTTACCCTTGTAATGTGGGAGAAGCTGCTTTACTTGAATCTATCTTGACCAATTCTCTGATATATATAGTAGCTATAAATATATGTGCTATAACTTCCATGGATAGTAAAATTTAAGATGAAGGATTAATGTCATGATATAAATTAGAGATAAAGTATTTTTTAATAAAAGCTTAATGAAATCGCTGAAATATCCAAAGAAAGAATTATCACTAAAGAATTGACTTGATTTTAAGATTTTTACATTCTTGTATTTTTACATACCATAGGAACTATAACTTACTTAATATTAATGCAAATATTTTTTCATTCCTTGATCATCTTTTAAACATATATAGCCAAAATCTCAATTATTATAAGAACCCATATAAGTTAAAGTGTCTTAACATTCACAATTCTATTATTTTAGCAGTTTGTTTGCCTTGGTGGTTTACTCTTGAAAACCATAACATTTTTCTGATTATGTTAAAGTGATGTTTGTCAAACTATAGCTTGCTGTAGTTTTTTTTTTTTTTCATGGCAATACAGTGGTAGGGAATCAACTAACTTAAGGGGACCCTTTCTTCAGATGCTATTTGTAATTAAGAATGATTAGTTTTAACTTTTGTGAAAGATAAAACTTAAAATAAAAATATTTAGTTTTAAGATATATAAGCAAAAATATCAAGACTGTTATTATGTCTTGAAGATTTTAACAGGTTTTCCTCCCATTTATTCAAGTGTGTATTGTGTTAGGATTAATTATTATATTTTTTGAGTTTAATAAACAGGGACATCATCAATTTTGTTTTTATTGATTTATACATTAATAAGTATACATGAAATGGTTTGCAATAATCCTGAACTAGAAAATTGATTTTATGCATGCTGTAGGCAGGCCTTAGATGTTTAAGCCCCAAGTGAATCTTGGTAGCCTAGCAGAATATCCTCTCAGACTCTCATATATTCAAAGCAAAGGAATAAATCATGGTATTACAAGGTTGTATCAGTTGACTTATTGCTGTTTTGTGACCATAGGTAGGGAAGACTGCTGTTTAAAGTCATGTCATCCGTTCTCAAATCAGTCAGGCATGAAGCCTTGTCATATGCCTCTATAATTGTACCACACCAGACTTTCTCTAACTAGTCAGCTGGGGCTGTGCATTTTGTCTCAAACACCCGGCTGGCCAGCATCTGACAGGAGCTTTCTCATCATCCTGTCAGTAATATGTTAACTAGAGTGTATCTTTGTGGCCTGTAGAAGCAGGTGGAAGGGATGCCTCTCTTTAAAGCAGATGTCTAAGTGTTAGCTACTATTTGGACCAATATTTAGTTGGTAAATATTACCATCTTAAAGTCTGTAAGCATGTTAGTTACAGAGATTTGATTGTGCAGTGCCTTTTCTTTCTAGAGTATTTAGAGCAAGCAATATGCTGTGAGTGTTGGAATTGCATTAATAAACTGTAATTTCTTCCTTTGTTATAGTTGCCCCCAGGCATTTAAGCATATGCTTTTCTCTCCCTTTCTCATTAATTCTATCAAGGGCATACACAAAAGGAAATCTTGTGATTCCCCAGAAAATCAGCCCTTAAAACATAGATTTTATATGTTTAGTTTGACTAAAGAGGAGTCCAGAGGATTTTAACCTCTCCATCTGGATTGTACATATTCTTGATTTGTCTATTAAKGGTACCACCTGTATCAGCATTTAATCTGAAACCTGAAGCTCAGAGATTCTTCCTGGAGATTAAGAATTGAACAGTTGGCAGAAGAACAAAGAGTATGCAGGCCTACTTGTTTCTTAAGGTTCTTGAAGAGTGCTTTTGACCTTTGTGTTCTTCAGGCTTTAAGGAGTGGTGCAGTTAAAAATTGTTATTGGGCTGAGGTTGTGGCTTAGTGGTAGAGTGATCGCCTTGCATGTGTGAGACCCTGGGTTCGATCCTCAGCAC